TAACAAGAGAGCTAGGATTTTAATGATGAAACATCCAGGGTCAGTGGAAAATATATATCATCATCTGCAAATTCATTTTAGATATAATAAAACAGCATAGCAGGAATCTGTCACATTGTAAAAAGCAGCAGGAAGGTGCAGCAGACTCAGTACTTGATCTTGCAGATCTGCAAAGGCCCAAGGGGTCACAGCAGCTCAGCCAAGAGCAGCAGGGGAGGGCTGAGACACCTCCTAGGCTCACAGACACCAGGGCTGGCTGAGGAGAGGCTGAGCACAGGGTGTTGGGCACAGCTTCCACCCTCGGCTGCCTAACACTGAGTGGCTTAACCCAGGGTCAGAATTGCTGCTTGCTGGAAAGGCCCCGAAGCTCCTAATTGCTGGTGGCTTTGTGAGCTGCTGAAGAGAAGAGCAGTGTCCTCCCCAGGGTGTGATGTGCCCAGGTGGTACCTGCTACGTTCTCTGTTGGCACTGTGTGCTCAGGAATGATGTATCTGATGGCAGATCACAGCAGGGTTAGCAGGTAAATCAGGCTGGGATCTCTGACACATGTAAACCAGGAGAGTGGGGAGAACACACAAGAAATGTGACTTGTCATCTCACTTCTGGGGCATCCTGAGCATTCCAGATCTGGCTGCAGCAGCTGAGGGCACTGAGTGCCCAGCAAGGGACTCCATGGTGCTCCATCAGAGCCATCAGTGCTGTGCCAAACAAAACCCCCACGGTTAAGCTCTGCTTATGCTTTCTTGGCCTGCACTTCCAAACTTAAGGGTGCATGAAACACCAGTTGTGAGCAGATAGTGTTGTCCTCTGCATACCTTTCCTTCAAAGCTTTGGTGTTCACCTGTGCATAGCGTAATGCCTTTATTTAGCTTCCTGCATCTTTTCCTTGCTTAAATCCACCCTCAATAGGTTATTATTCTTTTTAACAAGGTACAAACAGTAAGAATGAGTTTTGTATGTGTGGACACATTCTGCTATCCCTGAGGAAACAGTGGAAACACCTTCTCAAGGGATTCAGCTTTGCAGTAATTGTTTTTCCACCCAGAGGCAGAGGCAGCAGCATTTGGGTTCCCTCAGGCTTCCAAAGGAGTGAAAGGCCATGTGTCAGTTCTTACCCCTTGGCCTGGCAGCAGAGCACACACTGAACTGAGGCTGACACCCAGGGTGAGGTCCTGTCCTGCTGCTGGGATCATCCTTGTCCTGCCACCAGAATAAGGTGCTGGATTCAAATCAGGCTGGAGGCAGCCCAAGGGTTTATGTGCCTGCCTAGCAGGGATTCACTTTCAAAATGATCAACCTTGTTCTCTGCGCCAAAAATAAAACAGGAGGAACAGCAACAAGCAACTGTAGCAGTAAAACACTTGTATTACCTGCTGAAGAAACTGTGAGTCTTTGGCATTTGAACACCCTAATGAAAAATTTAAAAAAACACTTACTCAGTGGTTTTGTAATGTGAAAATCTACAACAGAAGTCATGTAACATCCAGATGAAGTGAAAGTATTACTCAGGCCCTGAGGCAACTGGTACTTCTCATCTCAGAAGGAAACAAAAGTGGTTCTCCAACCACAGTGAAGTGCGGGGAATAGTGTGGAAGAATCCATGGAAGAACACTGGCGAATCACTAAAAGACAATCATTTTGGTATACTTTAGTGTTAGAAAAATAGCAGGAGCACAGAGAGATGCAGTAGGCTTTCTCAGGCTCTGCAGTTGTTTCTTTTCTCAAAGAACATTAAGCAGTATCTAGAAATGGGATGGTGTAACCTACCAGCAAACCTGCATGGCTCTCCTGTGAGAGCCCAGAGGTGTGAAGATGGGCAAGGGCTCTGAGGGGAAGACACATGAGGTAACTTGGTCTGTTCAGCCTGGAGAAGAGGAAACTGAGGGTAATTTAAGCAGCTTCATCTCAGTCTCAAGAGCACTTTTCCAGTGGAACTGCTGAAATCTAGAACAAATCTGTCCATGTGACCAGCAGCACATTAACCTCATGTTAAGCTTTGCTGCACCCTCCCCACTTCAGCTCAGGTTCATGTTGTGTTCCATAACACCTCCTGACATTTCAGATGAACTATAGACATTAAAGAGTATTGAATTGTTCTCACTTTGCACTGGATCCTCTGGAAATAGGATCAGGATCTGGATAGAGGCATGGAACATCCTGTAAGACACTCATATCTTTCTGCCCAAGCCAAGAGGACTCTAAGCACTTCTGAAGCTTTTCCTCTGGCTCTGTGACAGCTGCTGCTCCTTTATCCATTGTTCAGTACGTTACAATGATCTTCCCATCCTCTGGAGACAAACCCAGCAATGCTGGACTGACCAAAAGACTCCCAGTCCCAGGTGCTGAGTTACACCAGAGTTAAATCCACAGGAGCACCCAGGGAATTCTCAGAGAGCTGGTGCTGTCACCAAAAACAAACAGTGTGAGGAAAGAGCTCGCAGAAACAGCCAGTTCTTGTTTCTTAGAATCTACAGACACAATAAATGTTACCATGACTTTGACTGAAGTTGTATTTAAGCTTTGTTTAAATGATCAGCCAGCTGCTGAGCTGAGAGGGAGATGCAAGTGGAGCCCCAAGTCCCTTCCAGGTGCACAGCAGGCACACTGTCCCCTCAGTCCCCTGCAGACAGTCCTCCAGGACACCCCAGGGAGACTAACAGCAATGAAGAGAAATGGAGCCAAGGAGACCAAGTTTGCCCCAGGCCTGTTTTTCATGTTCATTTTGGTTCATCCTGCTACAAACTATCAGCAGAAAACACAGGCATGTTTGTCTGCTCTAGCTTCAATCCCCTGGATTACTTCAAAGCAGCCTAAAGCTGCTTGTTTCGACCCCTGGCTAATACCTGGACCTCACTCCAGACAGGCTGACAGCACAGGCACTGTCAGTGGCACAAAGAGCAGCACTGAGGCAAAGCAAACTAATGCCTCTGGCACTGAGCAGTGACCTTGCTGACTTATACAGGCAGCCTGAGCACCTGCTGCAGGTGGTGCTGAGGCCTTCCCTCCAAACTGCACCACGGGGACACACATCAGCTCTGCAGGATCAGTGCAAGGGCATTTCAATGAGGAAACAACTAATGCTGTGCTCTGAAGATGGTGATTAATTCTGTTATGTCAGCAGCCTTTGGCACAGCCAGTGACAGCAGCAGATTTCATGTGAGAAAAGCCTAATTTGAGCGCCAAGAACCTTAGAGAGGAATTTTGTGGGAAGTAACAATGTGAACCAATGACATAGGAGCTGCTATGATTTTACACATAGGCAGAAATGCACATACTTTCCTCAGTCCTGTAGAAGACTCTGTACCAATGTATAACTGTTTGGTATTTGAAACATCAGCCAAGACAAAAACCTGGCAGTGTTGCTGAAATTGACCATCCACGGATGGGACTCACCTCAGAAGCTTTTGGAGCACATGAAGTTGAGCAGAAACTCTCCCTCAGGTGCCAAGTTCACAGATAAGTAATCAGTGCTGAACTGGCATCCTGCTCCCCTCACTTTGAGTTTGGCAATGCAAACATCACTTAGGATGGGTCTTTGTGAGCACAGGAAATCACATGGCCCTGGAATGTCAAGTTTTGAAGGGGATTTGGCTTTCAGACAGTGGATTAACTGGTTTCTCCTTCAGTTCTGGAGACATGCACTGACCAGTCGTGTTCCCTTCTCCTGTGAAGTTTCCTCCCTCAGCTGCCACAACCAGGCTGTGATCGCTGTTTTTGTCTCAGATTCATCCCAGCTCTTGTCCTTCATGCATTTGGTACGCGAAGTATTTAGGAGGGAAGTATCCAGGTCCCCCAGTCCTGTTTTGTTAGGAAATATTCCCTGGCAATCCTAACATCATTAAAACTTCTCCTCCACAGACTCTGCTCTGCCAACATCTGACCTTTAGCTGTTAAGGAGCAGAAGAGGAAGCACCACAGGAGCAGGTAGTGCTGTCATCAGTTCAGATACTGCACAGGGAACAAGGAGTGGCTCTCTGGCATTGAAGCATGGCACTTGGAAAGCTGCAGCAACACTTGAGGTGGCTGTTCTTGCACAGTGACCTGTCTGCTGCAAAACATTCCCTCACAGAAGGGAAACAAACAGCATCACTTAGATAATTCACGTGGTGATTTTCAAGGCAGAATCACTGCAAACACTTGTGCAGGTGTCACCTCCAGAGCTCAGATGTGCTGAGCACTTGCCTTGCACTCACACAGCAGAGAACCTTGCTGTGCTCTCCCACCTGAGCAGTGAATGCTCAGGGCTGCTTCCCATCCAAGGGATCTGCTTTTGTCTCACATGCCAGAAGAGCTGAAGGCTAGGCACAGAAGAAACCAGTTTATCTAATGAGGAATTGCCTTATAGATTTTTGTGGCAGAGAATACACCAACATTTTTATTGCCATGAGTTCTGATTACCTGGGGAGCACTTGTAATGACTATTACATACAGCCCCACCAACTAATATCTCTCTGAAAAGGTGATGTGCAAATACACAGAGCTACACTGAGCTGCCATACCCATAGTAACAAGTTACCTCAGTGTCAGTTTACACTGTGCATACAACCTGATTTCAGCTGTGCAGGAGATCAGTGTTTATGACAGCTCTTTAGAGAATGCAGTTGATTTTATTGCAGACAAAAAAAAAGCAGTCAATCTAGCACTTCATTAATGTATGAAACCAGCTAATAAAATTATTGTAAAAAATAACTTAACTTCTGATGAGCAAACGGAAGCAAGTTCTACAGCTCTCCCCACACTCCTGTGTTGGTGGCATTGAACCATTACACTCAGCAACTCACAGGCAAAACCACTTCTGTTGCTGTGGGGAATAAAAACATTCCCATTTTCTGCCCCAGTCCCAAACCTGATACTGGTTCATAGAAAAGAAGAATCTCCCTTGGAGTTGCTGCAGAAGCCTCACACTACTCTCTGGCTCTGACATGCAAGTACCTGATAGAGCTATCCTACTGGCACTGCTTGCCTCCTTCCAAGTGTCCTTAGCTGGCAGCACACTGCCCTTAATCTTCTGATTCCTCATAATGTGCATAGCCACTAGCATAGGTCCTTCCCAAATTCAAATTGCTGAACACATCCGTCATCTCAGGATCAGAATCCTTCCCTCCCTCATAGTTGTCATCTTCATCATCATCTTCTGCTTCATCCTCATCGTATCCATCCTCATGGTCCCCTGCATCTCCAGCCTTGCTGGAGGAGAGGTTTTTCCAGTAGGCATCGTAACCAGAGGCTCCGTCTGGATCTTCCCCTCCAGTCTGGCGGCCGAACTTCAGCGAGCGCGCTGCAGGCAGAGAGAGACCATCACATGCCCATCCTGCACACCAATGTCCTGCCTGCTCTTTTTCCACTCCTCAAAGAGCAGCACCATGTTAGACAGTGTCTTTCCACACCTGACATTCTCATATTCAATCCCTACCCTGACAGAGCTTTTCTGCCACGCAGTCACAGAATCAGGCTGGAAGGGACCAGAGTGGATCACCTGCCACACTCCGTCTCTCCGCAGCCAAGCTGGTGTGCACAGCAGCTGCCCCCAGAGCATGTCTTAGGCTTTCAGATAATCCCTGGTACTCTGGACAAGAGGAGTTGTAAGTGGATGTGTCCCTTGCAGACACAGCACTCAGGGGAGGCTGGGGTAGATTGGATGCACATCAAAATGCGTTTGGAAATCCATTAACCAGCTTCCTACAGACAAAATAAGGGTTTAAGTGGTGATTTTTTTTTCCCAACTAAAATCTCAACCTAAACAACAGCTCTCAGTGAGGTGGCATCAACTAATGACTGAGAACGAGACTGCTCAATTCTAGAGGTCAGAAACAGAGTTTTTCCCCAAAAAATGCAGCAAAGCTGCACTTCACAACTGAAAGCCACCAGACTACTCAGTGCCCCTAGACAGAAAAGTAGTCCCCACTGGCAGTTGTGTGGCCTGTTAGCTAGAGAACTGGCTTACTTGACATGCTCAGGTCCTTTGTCTGCTGAGTTTCGTGGCCACACTTAGGGCAAGGAGGCTTTTTTCCCTTCTCCTGCTTGAACACCTTACTTCGCACATGGTCATCACAAAAACAAGCCTGGGGGGGAGGAGGACAAAAAGGTAAATGTTTTAGTCATAGCAGCACACTCTTCAGCTAGAAGCAAGCAAAAAGGTGTCTAACAGCAGCAGAGTTTTCTGGCTGGGCTCAGAATTTACTGAGGTCAATCTGCAGTGCTGTGAGGTGTGTGCATGGAGCGGCTGCAGTTTCACAGCTTCCTGGGGAACAAGTTGGACACCAGTGCCAGGGAACAAGCAGAGAAAGCTCCACCCCTGAGGGCTGGGCTGCAGTGCTGCCCACAGGGAGCCTGCAAACCTGGGAGCATGGGGACAGGCTGCAGTAACCACAGTGAGATGTGTGGAGGCAGAATCAGAGAGGGAAAGTTCATACGTTGAGTGCCAGGGAGCAGTGAAGGGACCTGGAGAAATCAACTGGAATATGCCATGGATGCCATGGAAGACTGCAGGGAAACACATGGAGGGCAACAAGAGCAGGAAATGAACCAGCACCTGGAGAAATCTGGGCAGTGCTGATGATGAAGCAGGTGGAACTTTTGATACAACATTACTTCCGAGTGTGTAAAACCATGAGCCTGATGGCAATAATTCAGCCTCTTGGCACGCAGAACTGGACTAGCTGCAGAGATCATTTCTGCTGGATCCAGGCTGCAGCCAGTGCTGGTCACATCACTTGACTGTTTAAAAAAAACCAACTTTTGGAACTCTTGCAGTTCCACACTGGATCAAAACACATTCCAAGGCCTTGGGTTCTGCCCAAGACCAAGGATGTGTTTTGTTGGTTTGGTGTTTTTAAAGCCCCAAGATGGCACAGGCCCAATTTAAACTAAGACGGCTAGACAAAGTGCACATCACCTTACCTGGCATAAGGGTGCACAGCACTGGCTCCTGGGTAACAGGCAAGCACAGACAAAACACCTTTTGTCCCCACAGATCTGCCCCAGGCTACAGAAACCAGTGCAGAGGTATGACCCACTTTTCAACAACAGAGAGGAAGACATGGCAAGGCCTAACAGCAGCCCTGGAGGCCAAGCAGAATGAGCCTAAAACCACAAAGACTCACAGCTCCTCTGCCCCTTACCTTGCACCGCAGGCATGAATGCTGCCCCAGCCTGTTACAGGAAACACCTGTTGGGGGAAATCCAGATGCAAAACTCAGTACCTGGAAACTGCAGATCTGTGATGTCTTTAAAGCCTTGGACAAGTCTGTAACACCATAACTGAGGCATTCAGCTTTAGCTCCCTGACACAACTCCACCCTGGCAATGTCAGCCAAGTCTTTCTACCACACAGTACCATTTTATTAGACTTTCTCAACTCTGAGCCTCAGAGTTCAGGTAATTTGACACCCAAAAAAAAAAGTTTCAATGGGGGGGAAGTTTAACTATCTCTTGAACTTCCAAACATTTAAAATCAGAAATTTCAGAACAATTTGGTATGATCATCTTGCTATTCCTTTTCTCACAAGGAGCACTAGGGATGTGAGAACACTTAACATCTGCAAACTTCCAATCGTAGAGAAGCTGCTGCATTTTGTATTTTCTGTCATATTACAGTTATTTCCAACATACAGTCTTGGCTTGTGGGTGCTTTGTCTGTGGGTGGGATTTTTAAACTTTCCTTGCAGTTCCCTGTTTCAGCCAGAGACGAGCAGTGGGTGAGCAAAGTCAGGCACAGCCACCACCTTCTCCTACAAACACCACTTTCAGTTCCATCCCCAGAACTAACCACAGTGCAAAAGGACACAAAGCCTTCAGCTACTTGTTCTTTACTAGTAAGAGCTGACATGTATCAGAGTTTGATTCACCACAAACACGTGTGCACAGTCCACTGGTGAGTGAGGAAACACACACTGTAATCATGCTCTGGACTGTTTGTCACCTCCTTCTGTGTTCAGCCTGCCTCACTGCATCAGGTGATGACTGCTGAGTCATGCCCTTCCTCAGGACCTCAACAGCTGCTAACCCAACACACAGCCCTCCCACAGCAGCCTGGGAAAGCTTAGCCAGACTAGACAGGAGGCATTGTCTAGGGCACGAGGCACAGCCATCCCAAAACACCTCATCATACAGTCAGAAGAGTGAAGGAGAGCTCCTTCTGCTTGCAGAGCTTTGTGGAGTACAAAAGCAGCATCAGCAGCTCCAGCCATTTGCTGCAGTCCTGGCCACTGCCAGCACTGCATCTGCTGGCTCCTGCAGAGGCAGCTTGCACAGGAGGCCTGTGAGAGCCTGGTGGGAAAAAAACTGCCATGTATAATCTGGCACAGAAGGTCAGAGACAACAGCTCTAGTCTGGAGATCTGGACACCAAGAGCCAGCACAGAGGAAACAGGCCCTTTCCTCCAGGGGTGGCAAAGGCTTCTTGTGAAAGGTGATAGAGAGTATTCTGGAGCACAGAGGAAGCAAGTGCAGAGTCTGCCTAACTGTGGTGGAAGTGACTATGAGTAACTGACTTACATTTAAAAGTCTCTGCTTCCAGAACTTGGCAGCTGGCTTGATGTTCAAACTGGTCATCTTCACAGAGGAAGTCATGGCAAAAAGAGCAGGTGAATATTCTGCCTCCTGAAAAGTTTATCAAGGCAAGATCAGCAAAGGGCACAGGCATCAAGTTCTGCTCTGCAAACCATTCAGGCAGTAGTTCTGACTGAGGACCAGCTCTCCCTTCTGTCACAGATGCTTCAGCAAAGTTCTAAATGAGACACTGCCACCCACTGAAAAACACCTTGTACCCTGCAGTACAAGCAGCATAAATATAAAGCAAGTGTCACTTCTAGTGCTTTTCTTCACTTTGACTGTGGCATTAAGCATTTTTCTTAAACCAGGTCACATTCTCACCCAGTCTCCTTCCCTCATCTCCAATAACACTTGGAATAAACAGCTTCATGGACTGTGTCCAACGCCAGGCTGGATGAGCCTTGAGCAACCTGCTCTGGTGGGAGGTGTCCCTGCCCAGGGCAGGGGGTTGGGGCTGGGTGATCTCTAAGGTCCATTCCAACCCCTAAATTCGATGATTCTATGACTCCACAAATGGAGACCATGGTTTGCTAAGCCACTGGGATCCTGTGCCAGTGGGAATGGCAGAAAACTGTGTTGGCAATTTGATGCAGTGCTTAATTACATGAATAATGAAGCTGACAGAACTGTTATGCTTTAGATTACACAAACACCCCAGAGCTGAGCACTGTACATTTCTGAGCAGGTTGTTCACCTTCCCCACTGGGTGACAGCTGTTTATAAAAGAGGGAGGATCCTTGCTTTGAGCAGACACACTGCAAGGGCTGACCAGTGAAGGGTAAAACTCATTGCTAAGAATATAGGTGCAGTAACTTAAGCAATGTGAGGAAAAAAAGTATCGTTTAGATTTTCTTGTTCTCAAACCTGAGCAACCTACCGTGGTCCCAGACACTCCTTTCGCACTCAATACATTCAGCCTCGGCCAGAGGGCAGACACAGGCGTGAGAGCTCAGACACTTCCTGCCGTGGCACACCCAAGCCTCGCAGAAATCACAGATCGCCCCCTGCGGTGACACACAGACATCTCAGGCTTCTGCAGCACCTGCGGAGCCTCTGGCTCCATAACCCCCCATGGGTCCATTCCCTCAGTGGGTTCATTTCACTCCAATGAGAGGATGAAACACATCTGTATTCCTATCAAGTTGCTCCACAGTTCCCTTTGTTACTCATTTCTGCAGGATTAAATATGATGCAAAATAACTCGGGTTTCTCTTTCTGTTTTTACATTTCTTAAATTCTGCATGAGAAAATTGAAACCCGAGACCCATCAATGTAACAATGTCCTGGCAAAACTGCTGTTTCAAAGAAGACCTGAAAAATTCCATTAGATTCTTCCAGCTGAAATCACTCACTTGGATTTTAGACCATGCTATATTAGAGAACAAGGGAGCAAAAATCAGATAGAGTCTAACTTACAGTTCCATTTGGTGGGTTAACATTCACTTTGGTCAAACTAACCAGGTCCTTAACTGCAGCATTTAAGAACCCTCCTCAGTCCATATGTAACTCTCATGCCACACAAAACCAAGAAAGCAAAGCTGAGTCCAAATGAATTGCTGCTGCACTCAGAATCACATCTGTGCATGCATGGCAAGAGCTCAGAACCTCAGGCTGTAAAGAGGACAGAGAGTTAGTCCCTACAGCATTTAATCCAGAGCCCATGACATGCCATACTTTGCTTTCATAATGGACACACCGACATGTCCTTCCAAGCAGAAAACTTCAAAGGCCTGGAGCTATGACTATCTCAGGAGCCCAAATGAGGGTGTCTGCCAAATAACACTCCCCCTTAATGCTGTGGGACAGATTCCTCTCTGTGACACTGATGGTCTCTGCAATGCTAAGACAAGAACAACAGAAGTCTGCAGGTTTCTGCAGAACGATCCTGGATTTCAGTGGAGACTGAGGATCAGCTTAGGGCCTGTGTGCTCCAGAGCTGTTCATGCACGAGCTCAGGACCTGACACCAACACAGCTCTGTCAGCACCCAAGGCAAGTGCTGGAGTTTGCAGGAGCTGAGTCTAAAAATGAAAAACTTGGGTTTCCAGCCAAGGGAAAAATCTGTTTGCCATAGTAAGATGAGAAAGACAACATGCCATCCTTCCATAAATCTTTGTTATCTCTTCTCAGACAGACAGCACAGAATAACCTCCCAGTGCAGAAAAGGCTGTGATTCTGCATACATACCACCATTGCCAGTCCAGTGCTGTATACACCAGCATGCTTTATAACACAGTCTGAAGACTTCATCATGCATTTGGTTTTTCCTGTTTCAAACAAAAGACAAGCAGACATCAGGAAACTACATACAAATAACAGTAGGATGTGTGATCCTGTGAGAACAGCACTTCAACTAAATGCCTGTGCTTCACTGTGTGTACAGGCAACGCAAAGACATCTGCACTATTGCTGTATCTTACAACCACCTCCCCATCTTCCCTAGGTCAAACTAGTCACTGGCTGTTTTTAGCCAAAACATCTTGACTCTGTACTGAGATTACAAGGCAAAATGTTGGTCCTGCTCTATGTTTTGAGGCACTGGCAAAAATTTCAAATGTCAAAATCAACCAAAGAACAAGACTCAGGTCAAATGAGCAATGTCAAGCAATGACATCTTCAAAAGTTGTATTTAAAACTGCTGTTAGTCCGATCCCACCACAAAATCAGGATGTGATGTGTGCAAGGCTGAGGCTCTCTGAAAAAAACCACATGCACTTGGTGATTAAATTACGCACAGGTACTTGGATACTTGTTTTTATGGTTATTGTTATCTGGGGTTTTGCTTTTAGAAAAATATGTAAGAGATTAGTTTCTAGACAAAATGGTTCCCTTTAAATGCAGGGGATGGGTGTGAGAAAAAGCCAAAGCCTGCACCTAAAGTCATTCTGGTCCAAGCAAGCAGTTAGGGACACAACTTTCCCCTACTTACTGTTTCTGACACAAACAGCTCTACCAGAAAGATCCACACTCTCGGTGCAAAATGATCTTGTGGTTAGCTCAGGCTACTGCAGTGGAGCTGTACCACTGCCTGAAGCTGCACTGCCCCTGAGCCCTTTGGTGCCTGTTACTGCCTGCTCAGAGAAACCAACCAAGGGTGCTCCCTGCCCACCCACAGCAGGCCTGAAAAATCCACCCTCTGCTCTGAAAATAACGAAATCCCAGTATGCAGTTCTGTATTACACCAAAATCTGGTTAGGAAATGGCTCTTGGGGGCTGAGGAAGTGCCAGTGGTGAGCTGAGCTGGGCAGTGAGAGGTGAGGGCACTACTGGACCTGGAGCACTGAAGTGCAGCTACCTTGCTCCCTTCTTCTCCAGGAAAGATGCTTCTGGTTTGCAGCATCTGTCCCCAACACTCAGGCATCAAACAGCTCCAAAGGTCTCTGGAAAACCCTGAGACCCAATGTAATTTCATGGCTGCTGACAGGAAAGCTTTTCCTCTGGAAACATGCTCCAGATCAAGACAAATCCAGCAGACAGGAGTCAGCTTCAGAAGTGCACCACAAGACAGGCATGTTTTCAGTCAGAAGGCAGGCTCAGGAAGGATGACACAGTGCCACTGCACACCAGCAGCCTGGCCCCAGAAACACTCAACATCTGCAAGTCCCAACAAAGGCTCTGGAAACCGCAGATGTCAGCAGCTCTGAGAGTCAAAACAGCCAAACTGCTTAACGACAAACCTGCCAGGGCGTGCTGGAACAGTGAAACAAAATTCACCTCAGTATGAAACGAGTATCAGCACCTCCTGCAAGCAAGCAGCTGTTGAAAAACAAAGGGCATTTCAGCCTGATGCAGAGCAGAGTTCTGTCACTAGGAATCCTCTTCCAACCTCTAAGTACCAACCCTCCAGCACATATGAGTAATGTGAGCTGAGTATTGCATTGCAACCTCGTGTGAGGTGAATAATGGGCTGTGCTTTAATGGACACTGATCAGAAATGATACACTCTCTAAATATTTACTGGTGTCTTGCTAGCAGTCAGTTTTGCTGCTGTTATGGAACAATATTCCACATGGCCAACCTAGGGAAAAGGTCAGGAAGATGTTCCCAACCCTAAAAGGCAGTGAAACAAATTTTTCTGCAGATCAGCTGCTGAAGACAAGCCCAGGACCCAGACTTACAGACCCCTGGGGGTCAGAGGCAGTGCCTGACCAAACAGGATCACTTCTCAAGGGGGACATTCACAGCAGATTTAAAAGAACCTGCTCCACAAAGCACAGAGGGACTTTAAGACAAAGGTAAAACTGAGAGTTTTAAAGCACAAGGGGGACTGAGGACAGCATTTTTTCAGGCCTTGTTTCTACTCACCACATTGTGCACAAATGGGTAATTTCTGGACAGAATTACAGAAGTAGCAAAAAGCTCTGTTCTTCTGTCGTCTAGGCACATGTAGGAGGGGAAAAAACAGACAGCAAGCATTAAAAAAAAGACCTGTAAAACGCTTGAAACTGCTGGTTTTGGAAGGGGAAAAATTCTTACCTTTGGCACTTATCACATTCCTAAAGAGAAGAAATAAAACACTGGTAATTATTTTCATTCAGGGTAAAATACATAAAATTACAGACCCCACAGGGAGTTATGATTGGATCTAAACTTTTTACTCAATACTACACACCTGGTGCAAATGTAACTTTAAATAGGAAGGAAGGATAGTAGGAAGAATGACATTCAAGTGGCATTAAATGAGTCAATGTATTATCACTAGTCTTACAGAACTTGAAATGAGACATTTTAGCATAAGATACTTTAGGCTGTTTTACCATTGAAGAATTACAAGGATGTTTGGCCAGATCTATGTTGGCTCTTGAAGCTCTTATCTGCTTCTCACGTTCTCGGCGGTTCTCAGCCTTCTTACGAGCTCCAGTCTTCTTCTTAGGCATGTTTCACTGCCTGGGGGTGAAAGGAATGGAATGAAATCAGACAGAACTGTGTATGCAGACACATGGACACACAGCACCAGGACTGAACCCTGGAGTCCCTGTGCTAACTGTGCTGCAGCTCCATTCATTTCCTCCCCTGAAAGGCTCTACAAACACAGGGTAAGGGGCCAGTCCATGAAGAAGGGCCATGAGATGAGCCATAGAAAATCCTGTGATCTGGAAAGCCTTTGCTGCCCTGAATTTTGTGTTTAACTATTTTTGAAGTGTTTTGCTTTAAAGCAAATGAAAGCACTGTGCTTGCAGGTTCGTTTCTGATGGGACTCCACAAAACAGACAACTGAGAGACGAAAGGTGAGGTCTGATGCTGGAATTTCTCGTGCCAGGCACTGCACATTGACACCCTTCCTGGTGCTCCACCTTTATCATCTCCTCACAGATGACATCACTGCTGTTGGTGTCCCTTTCTAAACCAGACACAGGTTAAAACCAAACCAAAACAACCCAAACCAGCAAACACCCCCAAGGCCCAGATTAGCACCACCTGATGGGGGAAGGTGGGGAAAGGGGCAGCAGTGTCTAAAAGTGCAGAAGTACAGACTACTGGGAAGTGAGACTCGGGTGTTAACATCTCAATATCTGCTTAGGGAGTTTGAATAAAACCACCACAGACTTGGAGCCTGGCAGAAATTGGCCCAGATGGTGAGCCAGCTCTGCCCAGGAAGGCTCTGTGGATCCCAGGAGGGCTGTGGGTGGTATCAGGGAGGCACCTGCTCTCCACAGCCTCACCCCTAACACCAAGCAGACAGGCAAGCTACCATCTGCCAGGACAGCTGCAGCCCCACCAGGCAGTTCATTCCAGCAGCTTAAACTTGGGAAAGATCAGTATCTTGGTTCAAAAGGCCTTATAAAATAAACCAAACAACCTTAACTTTCCTGAACACAGAAATACATTGCCCTAATCAAGTACCAAGATTTGTTTTTGATAGCACACATAAATCATTTTTCTCACCCTGCAGCATTCTGCACCATGTTTCAATTGGATCAGTGTCATGTTTTGTAGCCAAAATTCTATTGCTGTGCTGCCTGCTGGCAACTGTCATTACTCTAGGGCCTGACATCTGACACTGGGAGTCCAACAGGAGGCTGCACACTAATTTTCAAAGCACCCAAACACCGATTTCACCACAGAATCCAATGGTTAGTATTTACACCTTGACATCTCCACATTACCTCATCATCCAAAGCACCACAATGACAATCTGTTTTCACAGCAAGCACTGCCTCAGTCACTGCTGAGGACACAGATTATGAGGAACCTTTTAGGTGGCAGTTTATAGAAGGTTGCACTAGAGCAACTATAGCAATTGACTATTGAGTCAATTCAGGCTATCAAACACAATCCAACAACAGCAACATTGCCAGGGTTGGGGCAGCCACAGCCTCCCTCGGCAACCTGGGCCAGTGTCTCACCAAAGTGTTTACTTGTAATTCTTTTCAAATCAGAGTGTTGCCTCTTATAAAACCACTGATCAGTATTCCAATGCCTCTGCACTATGTTCTACCTACACTTTGGGCACACAGTTACCTTGCAGTGGAATCTGTCTGCTGCCCAGCTCCCCACACGTGTGATGGGAAAGAAAAGTGCTTCTGGGGGACCTAAAACAGGTCTGGTGCCCTCCTCAGCCCCAGAGGGTATGGTCCTGCTGCCTACAAAGTATGGGAGCTCCTGAACTGGGAGCAGCTCTGCACCAAGGGTTTTGCTCCAGGTGAAGTTTTCTACTTAGGACCACAGTGGTGACTGGGTCAGGGCAGCAGGATGGACATGGCTTCAGCTGAATGGCTGATGTTGTGTCCCAAGAAAGCACAGAGTTCAGGTGTCAGGAGGCTGTGTGGGTTTGTGTGGTCAGTGCACTGGTGTATAGAGGCTTTCTCAGCCACCTCTCCGACCCATCCCCTTCAGGGGAATGGCAGAGCCCGAGCAGGATTCCTGCTCTCAGTTCAGGAGGGACATTGAGGTGCTGGAGCAGGTCCAGAGCAGAACAAAGAAGCTGGTGAAGGGACTCGAGCACAAGTGCCATGAGGAGAGGCTGAGGAACCTGGGAGTGTTCAGCCTGGAGAAGAGGAGGCTCAGGGGAGACCTTATCACCCTCTGTGACTCCCTGACAGGAGGTTGGATTGGAAAATACTTTTTACAGAGAGAGTGCTCAGGCATTGGAATGTGCTGCCCAGGGAGGTGGTGGATTCCCCATCCCTGGAGGTTTTCAAGCTGAGACTGGATGTGGCACTTAGTGCCATGGTCTAGTGACCACGGTAGGGTTGGATTGATGATCTTTGAGGTCTCTTCCAATCAAGCTGATTCTATGATTCTAGGGCTGCGCGACACCAGCATTGCCCTTCGCGTACACACACATAGACACACACATCGCAGCTATCCACCTTCCAACACCTAACCTTACCCTCACAGCTTTCACCCGACTCGCATCACCCGGATCACCGCTCTCTCTCGGCACTTAGCTGTGGGGAACACAGACCCCGCGTCGCTCAACCAGGCAGGGAAACCACGGAGACCCAACACCGACACCGACAACGCTCCCCGGTGCGCCCGCGGGCGGAAACCGGAAGCAGGAAGTTGGTTACCAGAAACAGGAAGCCGGAAGTGGCAGCGCCGGTGCC